CTTGAAACAACTTGTCATCAGCATCGCAAAATGCCACGTGATGACCTTCCATCATTCCAAAGACCCGATAATTTATGAATACCACATCGATGATACTGTGCTTGATAGGGTGGACCATGTGACCGGTCTTGGTGTTGTGTTGGATTCGAAGCTCTCTGGACTGGCCAGAGCCCGAAAAATACGGAAGACCCGGGAAAATCAGGATCGGAAGAACGAGTAAAAAAACGCGTGCGAATTACTTCACCGATTATTCAATTGATTGTTATCTTCCAATTCAATACCTTTGAAGTTGGTTGTAGGAAAGAAAATACAGTAAATGTAAAGAAAAGAGACAAACTTATCGATCAATAACCGCTACAGGGGATGCTGCAGGGAACAACTGTTCATATCTTAGTTGGAAGGGGAACGTCCAGAGATGTCGCTCGAACATAATCCGCCCACCAAATTCCCTATGGGAATTTCCGATAGAAGTCTTCTTGGAACATACTCATCCTAATCCAATGGTATGGCTCTTATCTTCCTGACATCGCGACGAGTAGTACCAGATTCTGTTCGGACTGATACCACTCTGATTGCTCCATCTGCTCCTGGAAAGGTTTCGATGATTCTACCCGTAAGCCATTGCTTTGGCTTCGAATTGTCGTCCACTAGTAGAACGAAGTCGTCGACCGAAACGTTGTGGGATGACCGTTGCCACTTTGCCATCCGCTGCAGAGATCGCACGTATTCTGTCTGCCATCTAGTGCGAAATTCTTGCGAGAGACGCTGAACGAACTGCCAGCGTGACATCGAGCTAATTTGCCGCTCCAGCGGGAACGGTGGTGAGTGCACGACCGATGAGAAGGTGAGCAGGAGTGAGAGGTTGAGCATCCATAGGGCTATTGGAGATCGGTGTAAGGGGCCTCGAGTCCATGGTGGCAGCAATTTGAGCTATCAGCGTGGACAGTTCTTCGAAGGTAAAGATGTAACTGCTGGTGATCTTCGACAAATGCTGCTTAGCAACCTTGATCGCTGACTCCCATAATCCTCCATGGTGTAAAGACTGGAATGAAATTCCATTCAGATCCCTTGTCGGTTAGAAAGTCGACCACTTAATCGTTGTGTACAGAAAAGTTGAGTTGCGCGTACATTTCTCTGAGGTGCTTAGCTGTTGCTCGGAAGTCCGTTGCATTTTCCGAGAATATTTTCGCTGGCAAACCGTAGCGGCTGGAAAATCGAGTGTATGCCGCTAAGAACGCTGCAGTAGTAAGCTCAGACACAGCTTCCATATGCACAGCCCTTGTTGTAAAGCAAACAAAGAGTGCGATGTACCCCTTGCTTTATTTCGCACCTCTGGTCCTACGTTCAACAATGCTGATTGGACCGGCATAGTCCACGCCAGTAATCGCAAATGGTGGATTCGGTTGAACTCGATCAGATGGCAGCTGACCCATTTGTTGATACGTTGGTACTGGCTTAGCACGTGCACACGTCACACACTGACGATAAGCTTTCCTTGCTGCACTTGCACCACTAATGATCCAAAATCTCCTACGGGATACGGCTAGCAGTGTTTGTGGCCCGCAGTGTTTGTGGCCCGCAGTGGTGATGGACGATGTGGTCATGGTTTAAGAGATAAAATATGAGGATAGAATGGCGAGGTATCAATGTAGCATGTTGAACGTCGTAGCTTCTAGGGCTTCGTTGCTATTAGAAGCCCACTTCCGCAGGTGAAATCCCCCGGCAGAAAAGATGATGGAAAGCTCTTGTCGAAGTTGCTTGGCTTCATCAGCAGAATCAGCACCCGTCAGTACGTCGTCGACGTAAATCCCCTTGATAGCCTTCTCGACTGCATCCGGAAATTGCCCTTGATGGGAGAGCAGAAGCTGCTGTACACATTTTGTCGCTAGATACGATGCGCTTTCGGTACCGTAAGTAACGGTATTTAGGCAGTATTCATGGAACGGCTTGTCCTCTGACCAGCGCCACAAGATTCGAATGCAGTTTCGATCCTCATCGTAGAGAAGCACCATTCTATACATCTGTTTCACATCACCGGCGAGTACAACTGGGGGAAACCGGAATCGCAAAAGGATGTTGACCAGAGAATCCTGTAACACAGGGCCCGCCAAGAGGATGTCGTTGAGGGACTTGCCACTGCTTGTTTTAGCTGAGGCGTCGAAGACCACCCGGCCCTTTGTCGTCGAACTATCCTCCTTTACGACGCAATGGTGTGGAAGGAAAACACAATTCTCCGATACTGGTGTAGTGGCGAGACTCATGTGCCCGAGGTCGATGTACTCTCGCATAAAAGAATGGTACTGTTGTTTCAAATTAAGGGTTCCTTTCCAATTTGCGCTCGAGGTGTAGCAGTCTTTTCTCTGCAATTTCCCTCGATTTGCCGAGAGAAGTAGGGCTGTCTAAGTATGGAAGCCGAACGATGAATTTTCCGGACTATTACGAATCGTGTGCTTCGTGAAATGCTCTTCGCATCGGATCTCTTCATCGTTGAAGTGTGGAGATATATTAGTGTATTCCTCCAGTTCCCAGAACTTGCGGAGCTGATCGGAGAGAGGATCATTGGGAGCCGTCAGTAAGCATGAAGGACAGTTAGTGTGTGGTTTATTGTATCAGTCTTCGTAGCCACCAGAAACCACCCATCCTAATTTAGTATTCTGGAGTACGGGAAGGCAGTCATCCAAACCAAGGTTGATTGTTCCAGGCTCGAGCAGCTGGAAGAAGAGTTTGTTCCCGAGAAGGATGCTGACCTTTCCGGGATGGTGAAATTGGGGATCAGCCAACTGAATCGACCCTGGAATTGGCCAATCCGTGATGTTGATCGGCTTTAACGGGAGCTCAGAAGTAAGTCGCTCAAAAATAATGCATGACACTACATTCCGATAGTCTGAGCAACGTGAAGCGAATGTAACCACTGCTCCTTTATTCGCGTGCCCAGAAGTATTAGCAATTAGCGGATGAATCCTGTTGCTGTGCCAGTTGTTGAATGGCTGCGTCGCCATCTTGTGATGCTGCCTCATGGCGGGTCGAAGAAAAATCGAGCCTTTTTTGGAGCTTCAACAGGGTACCTTTCAGGGTACGAAATTACCCTCGAATTCGGCCTGATGTTTCAGGATTTCATCCATATCGTCATCCTTGCAACTATTTACCATTCGCGTGAACCGAGAGATAAGCCGCCCAAATTTCTTGAATGTTATCCAGCTCGGTTTCGATGTCAACGTCATCGATATCATCCCTCTTCTGAAGCTTCTGGATATTTTGCGATGCTCGGTATAAACGTGCTTTGAGCGATCTCCTCTCGCGTAGTAGCTTGTCCATGGTGGGTAAACTAGACGATGATAAATTTCAGTATCACCCACTTTCACCGGGAATGTTCTTTTCAGAGATGATATTCCAACCTCAATCTGGTACTCACTTTCGCGAATCGAAGGACCAATTTATGGAGTGGCCAGAGCCCGAAAAATACGGAAAACCTGGGAAAATCACGATCGGAAGAACGAGTAAAAAAACGCGTGCAAATTACTTCACCGATTATTCAATTGATTGTTATTCTTCCAATTCAATACCTTTGAAGTTGGTTGTAGAAAAGAGAATACAGTATATGTAAAGAAAAAAGACAAACTTATCGATCAATAACCGCTACAGGGGATGCTGCAGGGGACAACTGTTCACATCTTAGTTGGAAGGGGAACGTCCAGAGATGTCGCTCGAACACTCTTCTTCCATTCCTATTACGCATCGATTATTTCCAAGGCAAACCATCAACTTGGTTTTATCTCCAAAATTACCAAGGACTTCACGGATCTACACTGCCTAAAAACGCTATATAATTCCATCGTGCGACCGATTCTAGAAAAAACTTTACTCGTATGGGCTCCAAACGAGGTTACATGGAACCTAAGAATCGAGCGAGTCCATAAAAGATTCATAAGGCTTACTCTCAGGAATCTACCAAGGCGTGATCCGTCTACCCTTCCAGCGTATCCCGCTAGATGCCGTCTGTTTGGTCTTGAAACGCTTGATCGAAGACGAATATTACAACAAGCTACGTTTGTCGTTAAATTACTCAACGGTGACGTCGATTGCTCCTATCTTCTATAGATTGCTCCTTGACTTCCGTGCTTCAGGTAGAATATTACGTCAGCGGTCCCTGATGCAGCCGGGATTTCAGCTTACTCTGTATGGTTATAACCAGCCTATACTGCCCATAATCGCATATCAGTCCCATATGGATAGGAAATCAAGCAAAGATGGGACTGATATGCGATTATGGGTAGTATATCTGCAATGGTTCGTTTTTTTGCATATGTTGAATCCGCGTTCAATTTTGGTATGTCAACGCATCAATTTGTAAATAGAGTAAGAAGATTGAACATAATTTAGATATTCATTAAGACTGTTTTGTCAGATGATTTACTAAACAATAAATAAATCTGAGCTGCTGATTTGATAACTGTACCTTTTTCTTTAAGTTTCCTCTTCATAATTGCCAGAAGTTTTCAGTAGCTCAAAAACATCCATGACATATTAATTAACTTGTTCAGTTGCTAAAGAATCTTTACTGAAAATTTCAAGTTATTTGGTGTAATGGTTAGCTGTTTAGATTTTTTTTCGGGGAATATCTTTAGTTCTTCTTCTTCTTCTTCTTCTTCTTCTTCTTCTTCTTCTTCTTCTTCTTCTTCTTCTTGACTAGACACTCTAACCAGTACTTATGCCTGCTCTCAACTTTAAACCAGTTCTAAAGTTTTAAATTAGAAGCATGCATAGGGTACCACTATATGCCTTTGTATGTGGTAAGCACAGGTACCGAAAAGACTAGAAAACGTCCATCCTGTAAAGATCCATGGCAGGACAGGCAATCAACCCGCCATCAGTACGATCAGTTTTATGACCGTATCTCATTATGCTTTCGACTTTCTACGTGGCTCAGATGGGCAATCCAAAGAAATAGATTCCCATAATATTGACAGTCAGCGATAGTAACAAATTGCAAAGCTAATAAATGAACTAGATAAAAGAGGGATGCTGTCAGTGAGAAGCTGCAGTAATGTTGAAGAAAATGGCATTTAGACCAACTACTTTTACTTCACACCCAGCAACGCTGGCAATTATTTTCGCGATCATAGTTAACAGTTTGGCGTATAAAACACAGGATTATTGCGCTAAAGGATTATGTTCACGGGACGATAAGAAACACATTGGCTGTAATACCAATAGGGTAAGTGAACTGTCATAAAACATCAGCATGAGATTTATGTTCAGACCTTTAATTTTACAGAAATTCGCAAGTACTTGTGACAAACCTAAGTTGATTCCCATGTCTACGAAAAGGAAAAATCTGCTTCTAATGATACATAATCGACTACGAAACAAAGTTGCAAAAGGCAAGCTGAGTAATTTCAAACCGGCTTCGAACATGTCATTGATGGTACTTTATAAAAATTGGGTATGTTTTGGGTAAAATAGCTTATTCTTTGATGTTCACTAGATCTGGGACGACGAGCTAGCATATTTGGCTGAATTGAACGTCATGCAGTGTGAAATGAAGCATGACGAATGTCGGAGTACAGGTAGGCGAAATGCTCTAATGTTGGCCTATGAATCTAACGACCCAACTAACAATTTTAGCTGCAGATAAGCTTATACAGCCAAAATTTGCCTTATGCAGTTAATTTTTGTTTGTATAAGCTTGTCGGCAGCTAAAATTGTTTGTTGGGGATTGGGGAAATTAATGTATGCGCCCAATATTAGGGACACTTAGGCCGACATTGGGGACATTAACACTGGTTCAGAAACCTTGAAAAACGAAACTATTCAATGCTTTAAATTGTTTAGCAAGATTCAAGTACGCCGGGCAGAATTTGGCCCGCTCCTGGACAAGTGGACCACTGAAGAAGCACAATGAAAACATACGGGTAGGCATCCTTGGGTGGTTTTCAGAACACAAAGATGCATCAATGAAGTTCATACGAAAGTATGGATTTACTAGTAAAACGTAAGTTTACTGGAAGTATTGTAGCAGTGACCTAGAATAAATCAATCCCGGTATTTATTTATATTTGTAGGATTGGACATTTCACAGCTTTGGTTCGAGATGTTTCAAGTCACGTTGGGTGCGCCATGTCAGCTTATAGGAAAACGCGTGTTGTTCGTGGGAAAAGTTACAATGGTAATGAATTCCTTTTGGCTTGTAACTACGCAAACACCAACATCTTGAAGGAACCCATATACATCGAAGGGAAACCGTGCAGTGCTTGTCCCGGTGGGGCACGATGTCACCGTGTTTACACGGCACTTTGCGATCATAGTGATTGAAACGATATAAAATTAAATCAGAATTACAGTGGTGGTGATTTGCCTGATGCGTATTTATCGTTATATTTTACCAATTTTATGACAGTGAAATACAAGCTTGATAAATTGCTTCATGTATTTATTGAATAAAATGAGAAAAAAATTAAACAGGGTTTTTCATAGTCAATGCAGCAATAAATTTAAATTCTTCCCTTCTGTATCACATAATGGAAAAACAGACTCAGGGTCGCTTACGGATGCTGAGTAGTAGAATTCCTCTGGTTTTGTCCAATTGAGGAACACGATGTATCTGTTAGAATATTTTAACATTTTTTTAGTTGTTTCGCTAAAAACACGAATAATGTTTGGTCCCTTCCCTTCATTTCGATACAAGCCTAAGCTCTCGTTTGATGGGTGCAAGGTTGTAAATACTCATTTCATAAAAAAATAATTTTTTTTTAAATTATGAAATAATTAGATGCTATGATTATATTTTGAATTGGTAAGATACAAGAAGAGGTTGCAAAGAATGTATTTGACCTATTAAACCTGTTTATTTCACTTCATGAGAGTCACAATCAGCGATTTTTCACACACTCACTCAGCGATCAGCAAATCGCTGATTGTGACTCATAGAAAGCAAAATTTACAGGTTTTATGTTTCAAACGCATACTTTGTAACCTCTTCTAGTAAGTTACAAGTAACACATGTCATCATACCATCTTTTGGTTTCATTATTCTGAAAAACATTAATTTAGCAGAAATGAGTATTTGCAACCTTGGGTGGGTGTTTTAACAATACTGATTTTTTTACGTAGGACTACGTCTGTGATGTTTATATGGGGATACACTTTTTGAAAACCAAAAATGGAACATGTAACGAAATTATGAAAGATTGTGAACGTTAGTAACTTTCACAATCTTTCAATAATATTATCACCAATCGATCAGAAATATTTCTATGCAATGCTTCTGATTGTTGATTTTAAGCAAGAAACTATTGAACAAGTAGTAAATATCAAGCATTGTTCAAAAGCGTTGAAATAACTAACAAATCGACAAATTACGTACATGCATATGCTGCTTCCCCAACACAGTCATCAGAGAATTGTTTCTAGACGAAGCGTGTCGATGTAGCATTGCTGCTTCCCCAACACTGTCGTCAGAGAGTCGTTAGTAGACGAAACAAGTCGAAGTGGCATTCACCTACGATCTTCGAACGTGTGCGAATAGGGAGGATGCAAAAGCGTAATATTTTACACACTCATCGCCATATTCAGAACCACACGCCCCCAACGACAACACAAAATGCTTTCCAGAGTTGTAATCTTGAAACCAAACTTGGAAGCAGGGGTGCATATGATTTTGATCGATTCTCTTAATCGACTTTCTGTTTCGTTAATAACTCGACGGCAAACACATTCATTGATACGTTTGCTGTTCTGGATGATAGAAGAACATAGCAGGAATAATGTGGAATATGTTAGTGAAGCCATGGTCATCAAAAGAGGAAAACGATGAAGAAAATTGACTTTCACTCCTCTGAAAACTAGCATCGCACCGCTTATGTTTCTTGAGTTACACTTGCTGGTTGCAATTCTGATGTTTGACATTTTCGAAGGACCACCAAAAAACATGAAATTACAATATTTTCTAGGGATGCCTAAAAGTTCAACTATTCGATTAACGATTAATCGCAACGATTTTCAAGCTATTCGATTAAAAAATTATCGAATTTTCAATTATTCGAGCGCGTAACCGACAGACAGTTTGATTGCTCGGACCCAAACGGACGTTATTTACACAGATCCTACAGCAGCGTTCGATAAGCTGAACCATGAAATTGCGATCGCTAAGCTTGATAGGCTAGGGATCGGTGTAAATCTTTTGAGATGGTTTCGTTCATACCTTTCGGAGAGAAAACTGACAGTAACTTTGGGTACTTGTCGCTCAGCAAGCTTCTGCGCAAAGTCCGGTATACCTCAGGGTAGCCATCTGGGACCATTGGTATTTCTCCTTTACTTCGACGACGTTCACCATGTTTTCACAGGGCCACGATTATCGTTTGCTGACGATCTGAAAGTTTTTCTGCGCATTCGCTCACTCGCCGACTGCCGTTCTCTCCAACATCAGATTGACATTTTTGCTGACTGGTGTAGTCTAAACCGATTGGTGTTCAACCCAACTAAGTGTACAATCATTACTTTCTCACACAACAAACAACCGATTATTTTCGACTACAAACTACTAGGCACGACTATCGAACGGGTGCATTGCGTGAAAGACTTAGGCGTTTTTCGTCAACATGTATGTCGTCAACAAAGCGTCCAGAACTCTTGGCTTTGTCTTCAAGATTACTAAGAACTTCACAGACTTTACCGGTTGTAAAGTTCTGCCTGATGGTTTGTTGCAACAGGGTGAATCAGCTTCATTGAAGACCTTTAGAAGACAAAACGACCAGATCTGTAATCACGTGACAAGGGATTGGCAAATCCACGAACCCTCGTCCAGTCAACAAATCCTTTGATTCCCTTAGGCTGCCCCCACGTATATAATATGATATTTTAAAATATATGATTCACAGTAATGTTTCACCACATGCTCAAAAATGTGCAGACAATCCATTTGGCGTTCAATGATAATTTCAAAGACACAAAAATGGGATGCGTGGAGAAAACTCCATTAAGAATTTGTCAAATTTAAGAGAATCATGTAAATTTAGTATAAATAGATAAAATCAGATACGATCTCACCAAGTTAGTTCAAATGAATCCACAGGAAGCATCCGTGCTATTTTTGCATTTTAGTTCCAATCAAAGACGGTTCGCTTCATGGTGATCAACATAAACTAGTCCCGTCCTATGTAGAACCAGTTTGAAGTGTCCAAATGTAGTGATCCTCCAGCTTGGGATAAAAAATAATCGACTGTAGCCGATGGCTGGATCCAAGTGAAGGTAGCCAAGTATCAGGTCCAGTAACTTGCAATTTCTTGACACGAATACGACGAACAATGGAATATCTTGTTTCCTCTTCGTTTTCGAAACCGTATGTCAGCGGCAATCACAGTCAGTACAGCAGCATGACGTACAGCCAGTATCCTTTGGGGATGGGATGCAGTTCTCGCAGGGCTTCTTCTGCATAGATTGTTTTATTCCTTTTGAAACGGATAATCGCGTTCTTGGCCACCGCCAAAAATGTTAATCGGATTAATAACCAAATAGACATAAACAAGAGAAAAAAAACGAAGGTCAAGTTCGTTCACACGCGCAGCCTACTCTGACTTCACAGACATTTACTGCTTGAAATCGCTCTTTTCCTCTCTCGTACAATCTACGTTGGAATACTGCTCTGCAGTCTGGACTTCGTCTTGCAAGCTACGAGAATCGCTGCCAATTGATCAATGTCGAGCCATTACGTATCCGAAGAAATGTTTTCAGAGCCTTAACCGTCGCCGATACTCTGCAAGGAAGAATCGACTGCAAAGCAATTCTGCAACAAGTGAACATTAATGTTCAACCTCGATCACTACGCAACAGTCTTATGCTAAGACTTCCACTTCTTCGAACTAATTATAGCTTAGGGAGCGCTATTTACGGCTTGCAGCGAGTGTTCAACCGAGTAGCGTCGATGTTCGATTTCCACTTGACACGGAATATGCTTCGCCGAAGATACTCTGACCGAAGGCGCTTGACGCCCAACAGCTAAGTGAGCGGCGCGCTTCGACCGTCATCAAATGAGAATTTAACATAAACGCGACAATACTAACTTATAGAGAAGAACCACGACGTGAAAGAGGATCATAAATTCGCCGAAAAAAGTGTTGAGTGTCTTTCTGCTAAAGGCTAAGACTTACCAACTTGTTGAGAGAAGGAGTTAAACGAGAAAAACTTAAAATGGGAGGAGCTTTAACTTAACTGATTTTCTGCGGCCTACCAACCTGTCGCAGACGCCAGTTTAACCCCTGGTGATCAGCAGACAGGCCGAGACTCTTGCGAGTGCCTAATCATTGAACCAAAGAATATGGGATTGTCCGGTCCAATTTGCTGATCCAGCTGCCTACACGTCATCATCATCTTCCAAAGGCTTTAAGTTTGTACTACCATCGGCTTTTATCAGGGCCATCAAAGTTTTCCAAAAGAGTTAAATTTCTGAACATGTCCCAACTAAAATTCATATCAAAAGGTGCTTTTCAGAGCAATCATAGTCATACTAAAGAGTATAAACGGAGAGAACACTGCTCAAATTCCTATTTCTACACAGAACAAAAGCTCCTGCTGCAGTTAACAAATAACATTTATTACCTCAAAGGGCTGCCCCTTGTAGGGTTTTAAAAATTAATTTCCTTCATAGACACCGTGAGGGAGACTAAAAGAAGTGCCTTATTTTACACTAATTTACACAACTCATCTCATTTATATGCGACTGCCGGAGGTCGACAACCTTAAAATGCATTGAGAAGGATGAAATCTAATGAAACCAAGTTGAAATGTTCCCACGCTGTGCAGATCAAGGAGCGATATTGCTGAGCAGCTTGAAGTAAACGGAACTACTCAGCCGTGTTTTCGATGGACGAATAATAAGTCTAGAACTTAGAAGAAGTTGAAGGTTTTCACCATCACCATCGATCTAGCCGATACGCAGACCATATCGAACTTTCGTACCGAGTCGAGTTTGAACCTTCTCAGCCAGACCTTCCAACTGGAGAAAGCCGTCAAGCATTTCGACTTCCTCAAGTCGAGCTTCCGTGCATGTATCTGCATGGTACTGCGATCTTCGGAAGAACAGCAATTTGTTAAAGCTGTTGAAGAACGTTAATGTAAATAACAACACGCAGAATGGAATGCCTGGACATGAAAATGGCATGGGTTCTATAAGACCCATTCAAAAAGTAGGATTGAAGGGCATACATGTGAAAACATTGAAAATACATACCACCGACAAACCGACATGAAACTTAAACTTAACTCTTGATCGAGAATCCATAACGACCGATTCAAATGTGCAGCGATCCCATCTGTAAAAACCATAGAAATGTTTAATCTAGATAAAAATAATTTGTCCGAAATAGATTAGACACGAACTCATACATTTTGTACGCGTGTTCGTGGCTAGGAAAAATATTTTCCGCGAACACGGCGGCAGATGCCAGTTTTGTCCTTTGATCAGAAATTTCTTTGTAATCTATATGATCATTCGTGTCGGTTTGTCGGTGTACATACTCCAATTGCTACTAGATTGCAGAAAGTTCTTTCAAAAGATCATTCAAATGGCCTAGAAACTCTTAAAAAAGAGGATTGCACGTTTACTGGATCAGTGGAGGAAACGTTAGAGATAATGATGAAAACACACTTTCCATGTTCAACTTCTAACATCAATAAAGACCAGAATATATATGCAGCAAAAACTGTCTCTATCAGGAAACTATGAACGAGTCGACTGGATCAGATGCTCCAAATCTGGCCAACATATTTTTTACAGAGAAACGAGTTGAATGGGCGATTGATTCTTTTGAACCTTTCAAATAAACAGTTAGGGACGGAATTTCTCCAGTACTACTCCAGAAAGGGAAAGATACATTGACACCTGTTCTTACAGACATGTTTAGAGCAAGCTTAACATTAAGCTATATTCCAATAGCCTAGCGTCAAGTTAAGGTTATATTGATTCAAAAGGCTAGTAAAAAGGATAAAACGTCTCCTAAATCCTTCAGGCCGATTAGTCTATCTTCCATTATGCTGAAGATAATGGAGAAAATAGTAGATGAGTATATGTATGCATGAGTATGCATGTCAAACTGGTAAATCAACAGTAACAGCTACGCTGGTTAAAAAACTAGAAAAATCTTTTGAATCAAAAGATTGATATTGAAGGAGCATTCGATAATGCATCTTATCAGTTAATGAAAAACGCTATGATGAAACATGTGTTCGATAAAAGCATAGTTAATTGGATTAACGAAATGCTTAGCAAAAGAGAAATCTCAGCAAACCTTGGAAGCTCATCCATAACAGTGAGAGCCAGTGATGCAAAATATCATGACTCTCACGTGACACTCGTCTACGCATCAACCGACTATCGCTGACAGAACGTTTTGTCACGCAGTGAGAGGTAGAGCCATAGCAAACAACAATCACCAGTAATGGTCGCCGCTCACAAGCGAAACGTTACACTCGCTGCTGATGATGAAAAGCACAACGAAAGCAGTACGATCAGGAGAAAAAGCGAAACGACAGAAGATAATTAAAACAATGCCTACGCATTCCAAGTTCGTCTCGACAGGCACGACTGTGTGAGTTACAAACAAAGCAGGCAACATTAAACGGAAGCTGTTGAGCTCACTCACCAACACACTCACATTAGCAAGCAAAGCAGCAACTGCTTCAAAATGAGCACAGATGAGTGTCGTGATTGTCGGGAATGACCAGATCAGTGATGGATCACAATCGAACACGACATTCACCAGCTGCTTTTTACTTCTTTCGTCAGCTTGATGGTCATGGAGAGAGCTTCGACGAGTACATCGATAGGAATATACAAAGTGTTACTACCATCAGCTGTTTGGCGATCGTGATTGTGATAGGTCGCAACTCTGGTGAGAGCTGTAAAAGGGTGTCCTCAAGGAGGTATTCTTTCACCTTTACTGTGGTTTTTAATAGTTGACCTTTTCAAAAACTTAAAGCGCAGGGCTTCGAGATTATTGGCTTCGCAGATGATATAGTCATATTAGCGCCTGGAAAAAATGACTAAAGACTGGAACACGCAAAAATTGGTCGACAAAAAATCGTTTCATTCAGTCAAAATTCATACCACTAAAATCATCTTCTCTTGGTAGTTCAATTCATATATTTAAAGGAAAAATGTTCGTTTATTCTTTTGGTTTACCAAATCCGAGCTGCCGTGCCTTCCGCTTAACCCCTTCCATTAAATTTTGCACATTGGTCTCATAGACATAATTCACCGTCGAACGCCAGTTAGATTTAAACTGCTGCTCGTTTTCCATGGATTTATTAGTTTTTTTGAGATTCCGTTTGACCAAGGCTCAATACCGTTCGATAGGGCGGAGTTCTGGGCTGTTAGGAGGGTTGTGGTTTGTGGGTACTACAACCACGTTGTTCGCATCGTACCACTCGATTGCCTTTTTTTCCCATAGTGACAGCTCTCCAAGTCTGGCCAGAACAGCACAGGTCTATTATGTTGCTTTAGGAATGGTAGCAGCCACTTTTCCAGGCAATCCTGGACGTAGATCTTTTGATTGATGGTTCCCGTAGTAATGAAAATGCCGCTTTTTAGACCACACGTGCATATGGCCTGCCAGACGAGATATTTTTTTCGGGAACTTCGATAGTTTAATGGTTTTGAAAATTTCAGCCACCTTCCTTTTTCCTGATGCGGTATAAAACTCCTGTCCCGGAAGCTGCTTGAAATCCGCCTTCACAGAAGTTTCGTCGTCCATGACGACACAGTCGAACTTTGTGAGCAGTTTCGTATACAGCTTTCGGAACCGCTGCTTTGTCGACGTGTTTTGTTTGTAATCTCGGTTCGCCAACTACACCTGCTTAAACGTTGTCAACCCGGCTCGTTTCTTGGCCCGCTACACAGTAGTATGGGAGACATTGAGCTTGCCAGCGACGTCCCGGATGGAGAGGTTAGGATTCCGCTTATATTTCAACGCCACCTTCTTCGTCGTCGCTGCCACGTCCGGATTACGATTGCCACCGCTTCCAGGCTTCCTCGCGGTCGACAAACGCTCCCCGAACACTTTTAAAACGTTTGTCACGGTTGATTTGGCCACATCCAGCAATTTTGCCAACGTTGGATCCTCTTGCTGCCCGAGCAAAATTTTGACACGCTGCTCCTCTTGCTTGGACGTCAATTTGAAAACTGGAGAGCAAACGGTGAAAACTCATCATAGCAACCATTGTATATACACTCAACTTCCAATTGCAGCATTTCAGGTTTTTTATGGATTTTTAACAGAAATACACCAATTTGAAGATGACCAATTTTTACGCGTTCCAGATTTTGTCATTTCAAGTAGAATGCAAATTGCTTTAAATTGTGTTGCATCCTGGTGCACTAGCGAAGGATTGAATATTAATCCATCTAAAACAACTGTTGTACCATTCACACGAAGAAAAAAAATGTCATTAAATAATATTAAACTGAAAGGAATAATTTTAGAACTTTCAAACACAGTCAAGTATCTGGGAGTTACTCTTGACAGCAAACTAAATTGGAATTCGCATCTAGAGTAAGTCATCAGTAAAGCAACAAATGCTCTTTGGATAAGTAAAAACAAAAACTTTGGTAGGAAATGGGGACTAAAACCTAAAATGATCCACTGGATTTATTTGACGATTGTAAGACCCAGAATAACCTATGCATCATTGGTTTGGTGGCCTAAAACTAATGAAAGAAGCTGGGGAGGCCGCAAAGACTAGTCACTCTCTCAATAACTATTGCAATGAGCAGCACACCCAGTATGGTACTAGATGCTCTACTTTATCTGCTTCCGTTGCATCAATTTATTCAATTAGAAGCCGAAAGGAGTGCATTAAGGATCCGACGGTCACAGCACTTCCTTGAAGGTGATCTTAGAGGACATATGAGCATCCTAAAAATGTTCAATATTGATTCTCTTGTGATACAAAATGAAGATTGGATGAAGAAAAAATGTCACTTCGATCGTCTTTACAATGTAGCAGATGCGGTTCGCGATTTGTGGGACAATGGGGGACTAAACATTCGTCCAGGAGCAGGGGTAACAGGTCCAGGAATAAATATCTCAATATCTATTCTATGGGCTACTGGCCTACCGTGTTCCAAGCAGAAGTCCAAGCAATTCTTTAATGTTCTAAAATTCGCTTGCGTAGAAATTATAGACATTCAAATATCTGCATTATGTCTGATAGCCAAGCAGCACTAAATGCCTTGAAATCAGCAAAATGTAATTCTAAACTTGTATGGGAATGTGCAATGTAACTCCAAAAATTAGCCTACCAAAACCAAGTGAACCTATTTTGGGTTCCTGGTCAGTGCGGAATTCTAGGGAATGAGAAAGCCGACACACTAGCTAAGCTTGGATCATCCCAACAATTTATAGGACCAGAACCATTCTGTGGAGTTTCTGCTTGCTCTCTTAGAATGGAGTTCAAGAAATGGGAAAACAAATTTGGAACAACACTCTCATTGCTAGGCAGTCGAAACGGTTTATTAATCCGAGCATTTCAATGACTAGCAAAATTCTTGAACTATCAAAGAAAGATATGTATGTACACTGGCACACTGGTTTAATAACAGGACAGTGTCCATGTAAATATCACTTGAAGCTAATAAGAAAACTTCAAGAGGACATGTGTCAATTATGTGGCATAGAAAAAGAAGACTCTGTACACCAGCTATGCTCTTGTACAGCAATCTTCAATGAGAGGCGTATTTTTCTGAATAAGGGACTGACAGAACCCTTTGAAAATTTGAAATTCAGTTCCCAGCCAAGTAGTGCAATTCATTCCAAATGTAATACCTGGCTGGGAAAATGCTTTCGATCAGTCTATGTCGGTCGCTTCATAAAATGGTGATACGACATGCTGATAAAGCAATATTAAAACGGGGAATATATGACAATAGATCTAAGTACTGGTCGCAGTGATCAAAATACCCAACACGGAAAAAATAAGGTCATGATACAACCAAAATTGTTATTTAGGAGTGTCTTAGGGACTTTGTATGGGAAATATCCTAGTTTTGAAAAAGATAAGTACTCAGTTTAAAGAAGATTGAAATGTTTTTATCACAGGCATTATAAAATATATGACAGAATAATTCCTCACAAATCAAAGCTCTACGGTTTGCGACAATATTGTACGTATATAAACACAGATGCTTCGATCTATTTGCTTTCAATACACGAGCTAGTTTTCTGTTTGTACATCATCAGTATAAAAGACTTTCCTGACAATCGTTATTGATTAGTTATTCACACGTTAATTGATCAATAATATCACCGCATCGTAGTCATGGGAAGTTTACCTAATCGGAGCGGTTATGCACTATTTGCAGTAATTATCGTATTGCTGTTCGGGTTCAGTTTCGGAAAAAGCAAAGACTATTGCAGTAGTACATACAAAAGCTTATGCAAACACAAGGGCGATCATGTTGGATGCCGCCCAAAAGATGTGAGTTTGATTTTGCACATTTCTTCGGCACTCACTTAATCGAAGATTTGGCTTTGCTAGTTTTCAGATTACGCTTCGTGTAGTGGTAAGCACCCTAAAATAATCAAGATGACTTCCAAGTACAAAAAACAAATCATGAAACTTCACAACCAACTGAGGGATAAGCTGGCAAGTGGAAAAATGTCCTCAACTTATGGAACTTTTCCGAGCGCCATGAATATGTCAGAGTTGGTAAGCACTACGTTTGCTCCGTGGTCAATTGATAGTTTTATTGAATGAAAATATTTGCTCTTTGTTGAAGAAATGGGACAGCGAATCAGCTAAACTTGCTGAGTACAATGTCAAGCAGTGTACTATGGAGCATGATCGCTGCAGGAGTACATGTAATACAAGCTTGTTGGTTTATGGACATCAGGACAATTATTTCAATACTTCCTAATTGTAGCCAAATTCAAGGATGCTGGTCAGAATATTTACTATTCATCATGGTCTGAAAAAAGGTCAAAGGACAAAACAAAACTTATTGGAGAGGCAATTCAGGCTTGGTGGGATGAACACAAGGATTTCTACATCAACGAGGTGGAAAAATTCGAGGGTCAAAGCAGAGGGTAAGATATCACTGTGCCGCAAGCATTTTTTTTCAAGCCCTTCAATTAGCAGAATGAAATTAGCATTTAGGATCATTTTTGCCACTTGATAGTGATTTATTTTAATGGTGCTCGTTGTGTTCTAGTGTACTGCATTTCACCGCGATGGCTGTAGATTACCAAACTCACGTCGGTTGCGCCATCTCGGAGTACGATTATGCCGGAACGGGAGATACTTTCCTAATGACCTGTAACTATTCGTCGTGGACATGGCTAAGCCAGCCAATTTATCAAAAAGGACGCCCCTGCTCCAGTTGTTCCAAGAAAAAATGCAGCAAGACCTATAAATCTCTGTGCAGCGCTTAGTGAAATGGCGTAATATTGGACTGCTTTCCTTTATTCAGGAGATTTTAAAGCGTAGGCTGGTTCATCTTCGAAGGCTTGATAAAGATAAATAAATATAAACATAGAAATAACAAAGTTGATGAAGAACTAACACGCCTTTATATAATTTGCTTGCCCTACATTGGATGGTCTAAAACGTCCACAATGTCAAATGGGGGGATATTTTACGCGATTGTAAAATTCAGAATTTATTTTTGGGTAGCATTAACCAGTTCATGTACAACCATACCATAGCAAAACGGTATAGTGGTTCTCAGAATTTCGTAACAATTGGCAGTTTTGTTTCTTATCGAATTTTTTTAACCAAAATGATTTTTTGTTTAAATCATAATTTTTGAACCACAGGGCCAATTTGAATGGTCAACATAACAAATAAAAGGATATTAAAAATAATTTTCAGAAAAAAATATGAGAAGTTTTAAAAATTGGAGTTTTGTATAGAAGAACTTTGATTGTATTTGTTTTTCATGGTTTTGATGGTTTATAGACAATACACGTAACACGTTTTTATATTTTTCTATGAAAATTTATGCTTTTCTTCACAACATATAAAAAAAATCAGCGATGTGTTTTTCTTCGTTTTTGAGTTACGATTACAAATTCGACAGTGGATTAACACATATCGGTGCGTTTACTGTTGCCTTTGATAGCCAATACAACCTGTTATAGGTTACAGCACTACATTTAACAATTTTCAGATAATATTCAAGTTGAACATTGCATTAGGTCCTAAGTTAATTGGTCAAAAAAATTCTACGTAATTCATGAATGGTGCCTTATTTTTCTTCCAAGGCTGTGACCCAATTGGCGAGCTAAATTTAACTCGATTGCTTTTTCGAAGGGACGTATCAGCTTTTGTGAACGCATTTGATCGTCTATTTGGCTACATACTTAGAAATAATTACTTTTACACGAGACGTAATCCATATTGAACGTAAATCATGGAACGTAAACAAACATTTCATGTAAAATTAAGTGTTCTCAAACCAAAGCATAAGCAACTCGACGAAGAGAACGTTTGATTGAATTGATTTTCTCGTTTCTTTCAACTGATTCTTATGACAAAAGGGCCACTTACATGTGTCGGTCTCAGGGAACCGAAATTTACACGACTTTTTCATAGTGTGTAGCTTACCCACCCATGCTAACACTACCTCCAAGTGTGGAAGTTTTCCCCTACCTGGTATAGTGGTGTTAGTATGCGTGGGCGAGCTATCAGTTACGCCAAACCGACGATTGAATGCGTTGTTTAAAAGCTGATATGTCCTTTCGAAAAAGTAATCGAGATTTGTGGAACGCGGGATCGTTATCACTCAGACAAGGAGGTTGATTCACTTCGGAGCGCTTGCGCTATCAAGGCAACGGCGCTGCTTGCAGCCGAGATCTCGACGGGAACGATGCGCAAGGTTCGAGGTGGAAAACTACCTGCTCACCCGCCGTCCGAAGCGAAAATGAGTTCAAGCACAAAAGCAGCGCTGTTTTATAACTTTTCAGATTCAAGCAGCACGATGTGCAACCAAATGGTACTCGATTATGACGAATGGGTTTGGAGAGAACGTTTATTTCATGAAAACAGTGATAAAATTATTACTTTTTATTTGTACATTTTTCAACAGTTTTCTATGGAAAATTGAAAAAAAGCGTTTATTGTAGCATATTATGAGAGTTATTTCCAATCGATTGGTGTATTTGGATTTTAATTTCATCAATAAATGACAAAGTTATAAGCGTTCAAAACCTTACACCATTTCGTGACGGTGGCAATTTTAGATTTTCGATTTACCCCTGTACCTTCCCGTAAAACGTAGTCTACGTCAATAAAAAAAATCTTGAAATAAGGAAAAAATGAGTTAGTTAGTCTTCTTCTATGTGATTCCTAATCTTCTATTCGTTGTTCCCTAGTTTGAAGTGGTTAAGACTAGGGTTCTGATGCATGGTCATTATCGGTGTCATTCCTTAATTTTGCTGCTAAGGAATTCAATTTGAACTGACAAAGGGGCGCGCCTTTGGAGGGTGTTTCAACACTACGAAGGGACCTTTCAATTAGATTCGGATCCTTGCGATAAATGCGAGAATTTCTGAGAACCACTATATCGTTTTGCTATGGAATGGCTGAATATCCTCGTGAATATCTATATTTGTTTAGATAATTATTATATAAATACTTAATTACAATTGGTTGAAAGTCAAAAGGGTGAATGAGTAATAAAGTGAACTTAGAACGTAGGATTGCGTGTTTAAAAAAAATTCTCATGTCTTTAAAACATGATCATTTTCTTAATCACTGGTCATAGTTTGCAATGTTTCTAATTTAGTCACATTATGCTTAAATTTCCGGGAATATTTTGATTATTGAGTAAATAACGCACATTATTGCATCCGGTAGTGAGGCATTCCGGCTAAATTATAGCTAAATCTATTGTGGAACTGTCAACGTTTCACCAACTGATGCGTGTTCCTTTGTCTCGCTAAATCCTCGCATCGGCAATGGTGACACGTAATTGTATCAAATTTACAAAATTTTAAAAAGTGTGTCAAAATCAGTGAAGCAGCTAGAAATTAAGAAATCGGTAGGAATGTTTCAATATTTTCGATAGACTGATTTGATTTTCGATATCTGGCAGTAGCGAATCAACGCTCCCATATAAGAAACAATAGCTGAATTACGACAAGAAACCGTTCCTGGCAAAACAACATCAGCAATTTATTGCCCGTTAGACAACAAAATAAATCCAGGAAGCAATTGCTTGCTTCCCAGTTGAGAACGTTGCGCAGATTGTTTTGACAGAATAATGAATGTCACAGTTCGTTGCAGACGAAAAATATAATGCTTCAATAGACACAGACAGTTTTCATTAAATATGGAAACGGAAATATTCAGTTTACCTTCCGTAACGAACAATTCTACAGTGCAGCATTTGTTCGAAATGTCAAAGAAAGTGTACATCACTGTCATTACCATAGTCTACAAGGTGCAAATCATTACTAGTTTGTAGGTGATAAGTCGTATTGATTAGTACATCACGCGTCGTATTCCGAGGCTTTCATTGCGACAGAAAAGCCAATAAGCACGTTCTCACCGTCTTGGCTACTCAATCATGTTTGTCATCAACTTTCGTCAGTCAGTAAGTATCAATACTTTCACGCTGTGGCCAGACATAGGCCGCGGACAGTTCCTAAATGATCTAATAATACACCGAATATTGCATAATGGCAGACATCGAAAAATAGACGAGACACAAGTTCAAATAATCACACTCGAAGGAGGCAAAAATTTATTTCGAAAAAGATTGCTTGCTTTACTCATTCAGAAGTTTATGCTTGGCTTGGTTCGATTCTATACACCTAGGATAGTCGACGAAACACGTTTGTGTGTTTTCAAGTTCAACCGAATCCGGCGCGGCCACTCGCGTCATAGTATGTAATTAGCGTTTGGGCTGAAATGGCGCGTTTGTAGATTCACGAGCATTGCTCTAGGCCCACCCGCTTGAATTTTATCATCATGTAAACAGAGCAGAAGCTATCGCACCGTTGCAGAGTATTATCCAAAAATTGTATTACGATAACTGATGTGATAACAGTATAAAATAGTTTGTGCCGGATTGTTTGAAAATAATACTAACATTAGTGTAACGCATCTACATATTGTGCAACTGTGCTGTGCTGCGAGCAGTAAAACCGAACAGCTGAACGCTGGAGAGCAGTTTCCCTGGAGATATTACAGTTCGCGAGAGCATGAGATGATCGTTGTATTTTTTAGTGTGATGGCAAACTACGGTAATTTGGAATCATGCGCATATTGCATTCGATTAGGAGATGGGCAAATGCAGTGTAGTTGATGGTGAAAATTGTCAAACTTTTGTTGTCTGGCAGTCCTCTGGTGCAAAAGGTGTAAAACTCAGAGACTTTTAAAAATAATGGCTCCAAACATCCGCCATCGAGTGTTCCGTCTGTTTAGAAAACGTAATGGTAAAGGAAGGAAATTGGTGCAAAAATAAACTTGATAATATCACGCAGATCAACATTGAAAACATCCGGCAGCGCCAATTTTAGCCGGTCATGGAGAATGCGGGCGATTGGAATAGTGGATAATAAAATATTCCAAAATATGTGGTGGTTTACATTTGTTGGTGAACAAATCTTTTGATTATAGTGGCTTCCGACTTGCGGATGAAATGAAATCATCTGCCACTGTGGTGATATGACCTAAATATCGTGTATGCGCACGGAATTTTCTGGGTCATAGATTAATTTGTGATTATTATATATTCCAGATTCTGGGCAAACGGTTTCTTGATTTGATGATGGGAAAAATTAACTGTTAACTGTGGACATACATTAAAAGTTATCTCGGTTCAATTTCGATACTTTCCTACATCATAATAAGTACAGGGTGATTCGGAGAAACCGTCACTTAAAAAAATACTATACGATTTAACGCTTGCGTGGATTTTTGATATCAGTATATTTCAAATATGCTATATATATAATTACAACTCGGCATACTTCAATCCAAATCTCTCTCCCTTTACCTTAATTACCAACCACATTTGTCACGAAAATGAATCACAGCAGAGTCCTGGCGTTGCGTTTAAGTCCTGATATATAACAGATTTTCCAAGCATGGTTTCTTTGTACCTCCATAATTTTGTGAACAATAAATGTTTCATTCGTTCGAAGAGATTTTATGTTCTAGAAGACAACACACGAATTTATACATATTTATAACATCTTCCATTTTCACATCCATGGTTGCTTGAAATCGAAGACGAATTAAATTTCTAATCCTACTAATATACTCTAATATAAACTGACATTTGAACACACTTTAAAACAAAAGTACTTGAAAATATATCCATTTTACCCATTGATATTTGTAAAATATGCAATCGGTGAACTCATCTTTATTGGAACATTTTATGAAAATGAACAAGAAAAGCGATAAAAAAGTAAAGAAAATCTAAAAATTTATGTCACTAAAACTTGCCGGCAAAATGTTAGCAATAATGTACATATTTTCATTCAACCGAACTATCTCTGCTACCCAGGCATACCAAAAGTACTGCCTCATGACAGTATTCCAACGGCTGTCGCTTTCTTTTCCCTACGACAGCCTTGAGATTGAGCTATAAGCGACAGCCCACAGTGAGGCTGTTATACGACATGCAACGTTGCCGTCTTGTGCAGTACACGACAGCTCGTTCTTAGTCATGTATTTTGTTCGTTCGGCTATGACAGCCTCGGATGGTCATTCGTAACGTTCCTCGTACATACAACAAGCAGTCCGTCGAACTGCCGATTCGTTGCTGCTGTCTTTGAAATTTTGTTTGTATGTCGTAAGGCTGCTA